CCATATAGTTTGTAATTACACAGCCTTGTGGAATAGGCTTTGAGTCTGGACTCACGTTAAGTTTGGGCTCCTTGGAAGCCCAAATAATCTCACCCATCTGTTTGAATTCAATTGGGCTTCTAGCCCAAAATCCCTTCAGCTTGTTTATATAAGACTCATGCTGGTTAACAACAAAGGGCCCAAGGACGACATCAGAGGCCCAAAGCTGGGCCAGCTTTAAATGAAACACAGCAGCATTCATAAAACCCTGGGCTAATGCTCAAGGCCCAAATTGTTAAGTCCAAAAGTCTTTTAAAAACTACATTAGGATATCGGGAATTAATTCACAAATATAAATTTGGGTTTCAAATTAGGTGGCGGATTCAAATTAAGAGGGTCTTCCCTTTTGTTTGAATTCGGACTTGAACTTGAGGCCCGAATTTTATAAATGCGAATTAATTAGGGCCTGTTTAGAGACAACTGTAATAGAAAAACAATAGTTACTTTAGGATTGGCCTTTAAATAAAAGTGGGACGAGCCTCGCCAAATAAAAATGCATAAATTGCGGGGCCCTCATTAAATGCTTTATTAAAAATATTTTAGAAATTCGGGACATGCCATTTAGCGAATTTTCATGGCTTCCCGCAAAGTTAATAAGACGCTAGCCACTTTAGGTGCGCTTTTTAATAATTTTACCTTCTCAAGTACGGGTGTGCATTTCATGCGACCCAAATCCAAATCCCAAAATGTTGAATAAGAGGTGTCGAGGATCCGGGTGCATTTCATGTGACGTGATCCAAAAACACGCTCTTAAACGGCGTTCACTTTCGTAAAAAATAACTAAAGCGGTAAATAATCTTAAAAATTGCACTATAGGTTTGAACATGTAAAAATTAGAGTTTTTTAGCCATTTATAATAATTTAAGCGACCGTGCTAGAACCACGGGATCCGGGGGTGCCTAACACCTTCCCTCGGGTCAACAGAATTCCTTATTCAGAATTTCTGGTTCGCAGACTCCAATTGGGAAGTCGAAATTTTCCTCGATTTGGGATTCAAGATAAACCGGTGACTTGGGACACCAAAAGCCAAACCTATCCCAAGTGGCGACTCTGAAAAAAAAATAAATAAATAATCCCATTTTGAATAATGTCACTTTAAATGGAAAAACTCCTTTATACATTATCCTTCGGGGTAGGTGTGTAAAAAAGGAGGTGTGACAGTGGGAGGGAAGAGTTATGATAAGAACAAACTCTTTCCAACCAATCAAATTGAAGTGTGGCAAGGCCGCATTTGATTGGGTAGAACATGTCACCGATACACGTATAGCTGTTTCATTGGCCTTACAATTTGATTTGGCTTGCCTTTACATTTTGAAACGTGGCACGATTCTGTTGGCTCTTCTGTTTGACTTTGCGTGCCATGTCATTTGACACGTAGAACCAAACTGGGCCTCTAGGAATATGACATATTGGACCTAATGAAGTGGGCTCATCATTTGCAGCCCAACTAAATGGATTAGCCCAGTCAATATTTATTGAATTTAAGTAATTAATCCAATTATATTGACCTGTAATATTTATTTGGACTAAAATATATTTAATTGAGATCAAATCTAACTTTCTTATAGATTTAAATTCAATAAAATTTTAATTGCCTACAATACAATCAAACAATTCTTTCAAGATTGATTTGACCCTAGAACCCAATTATTTTACTCGCATATGGATGTGGATTTCAGTTCTCATTTTTGCTCTAGATTACCAGTTTTGTCAGAAAGTTCATGTGATTTGATTCAATCAAAGACGACAAGCTCGATGATTTAAGATAATGAATCAATTTCATATCTGCTGCAAATATAAAGGAAATACACCCAGTAGAATAAAAGTCAACCACCTCGCTCATAAGCAATTCCTCCTAAGTTACGACACCCATATGATCTAGATCCTCCGACAGAAATATAAAGAACGAGAAATGGGATGAAATGGAGTTGACAATATATCCAACCTTACACTTTGAATGAAGAAGACGAGGGGGTGGCTGTAATGGCATAGAGATGATTAGAAGGTCGACGATGGGGTGGGTTTGGTTGACTGAGGCAGCGGTGGCGAGTTATAACTTTTCTGTTTTTATTTCTCCTTTATCGGAAGGTGGATGTTTGGTAGGTGGATGAGGTGACAGAGAGAGAATGTAGAAGGAGAATTTGTTTTCTGGCCCTCACACGCTCAAGTTTGATGTTTCACACGCACGGTGCCATGTCAACACTTGTGTGTTAAATAAATACACTTGAGCTTGAGTTACATTGTTAAATAGGAACATCACCTAATTTAAGTGTCTAAATGAAAAAATGGGACATTTGTATCTATATCCGCTTTTCGGGTCACGTTTTAACTTGTGGCAGCTTTGCAAAAAAAATTACAAGCGTACTCATTTTTTTTGCGGTACTTCAGCATACGGGACTGAAGTAGCAAAGGCAATCACGCAAAAACTTCAGCATTCTAGTAGCCGAGCCTGAAGTGGACCAAGTGTGCTGAAGTTTTGTTTGTAATTACTGAACTTAAGCATTCTAGTGCTGAAGTTTTGTTCTCTATTTGCTGAACTTATGCATTCTAGTGCTGAAGTTTTGTTCTTTATTTAATGAACTTGTTTTTGTTTGTAACTGCTAAACTTAAGCATTCTAGTGCTGAAGTTTTGTTCTCTGTTTGCTGAACTTAAGCATTCTAGTGCTGAAGTTTTGTTCACTATTTGCTGAACTTAAGCATTCTAGTAATTGAGTTTTGTGATGCTGAAGTTATTTAGTTCATTTGTAAAAACTTCAGCACCAAATACGCTGAAGTTTTTTTGTCCTGAATAAGCTTTTTCAAAAACTTCAGCAGAAGATGTTGAAGTTATTTAGTTCATTTGTAAAAAGTTCAGCACTAAATAAGCTGAAATTTTTTTGTCCTGAATTCATTAGTTTTGTCATAAAGTTTTTTTAAATACTTCAACAGAAGATGCTGAAATTATTTAGTTCATTTGTAAAAATTTCAGCACTACATAAGCTGAAGTTTTTGAAATAAAATTTGACTTGAAACTAAATGGCAGTAGAAGGGGAACATCAACTTCAGATTAACGGACATGCAAAGCAAGCTGAAGAATCAGCCAACTCCACACAATCCAAAGAGCTGAGAAAAAGAAACGCAAGAAATTCTTAATCTTTGTTGCACTCTCTACTCTGTTTCAAACTGCAATCACTCTCTTCTCTTCATTGTACATAATGAAAGTCAGAACTCCCAAGTTTCACGTCCGGTCCGCTACCTTTGATGTGTTGTCCAAAAATGCAAAAAACTCTTCATTCAACATTACAATGAATGCTGAATTTGGTGTCAAGAACGCCAATTTTGGACCTTATAAGTACAGAGACAGCACTATTTATTTTTTCTATAATGGTGCGAGTATTGGAGAAGCCTTTGTTTCCCATGGCTAAGCTGGTTTTCTATATAGTGCGAGTATTGGAGAAGAAGGAGGAGAAAGGGGGCTGAAGTTGTTTAAAAAGTAAATACAAGTTAAAACTTTTAAAAAAATAAGTATAAGTTAAATGGGGGCGACCAAACAGGGCGCCCAATTTTTATTGAAAAAATAAACAAGTTCAAGGGTCTTCTTACGTATTTGGGCCTAAAATGTTGTTCCCATATAGCACAAATTTCAAGAATTTTGAAAAGCTGCAACTTCTAGAAAGTCAATAATTTAATATATTTCAAAAGATATTGGAGTATAATCGTAATTAGTTAGCAGGCGAGGTGCACATGACGAGAAAAACGGGGGAAAATCAACCGGAGAAAGGAGAGCATCATGAACGAACTTTAACAACAATTATGCAACTCTAAGAGTCCGTTAGGACATAAGAATTTTTTCAATTTTTTTCGAAAAATTTTCAGCTTTTTTTCGAAATAACTATTTGGCCATAAAATTTTCAATTTTCACTTGAAGATAAATTTTAAAATTTTTCGAAAATTTGAAAAACTCCAAAAAACTATTTTTCAAAATTTTTATTTAGATCACTTAAAAAATTCAAAAACAACCCAAAATTATATTCATGTCTAAACACAACTCTAAATTTCAAATACCATTTTTATTTGAAAATTCTTTTTACCTTTTCTAGAATTTTACAATTCTTATGTCCAAACGCCCACTAAATTGAACAGACTTATTTGCTGAAGTGCTAGCTGTTACATGAATAAAACCTTTTAGCTATAGCACAGAGAGAAGAGGAGGGAAGGGGGAGCAATCTAAGGAAACAAACATATATTGAAAAATAATGCAGCAAACCAACCATAGGAGCTAATGGAGCAGCCAATAACACTGGAGTAGAACGGGAGAATTTGACAGGTCAAAAATATGACATACAAGGAGATCAACATGGTGCAAAGGCGAGAACTTGATATGGGCACTTAAGAGAGTTAATTCAGAGAAAATTAACAACTTTTTTTGAAAACATTAGGAAGTCCAGTTGGCTAAAAAGTTTCTTGGTTTCTTCAACCTAAATTGATATCAGAAAGGAATATCTTATGTTCACTGATCTTGCATGTAACGGTTAAAATATGATGTGCTCCTAAGCATCACATTACCGGATATTTCAAAGTATGAAAGAGAACTGAAAAATCCAAGGGTAATTACATTGGCAAAATCCAAGAGCATGAAATTTGAGACTGATCCCAAAATCCATATAAGAATTATATCTAGCTTTTGTCCACTCCACCGTGGCACACCAGCCCTACAGTGTTCACAATTTGGACCGACATGTATCAAATCAAATATAAATGCAATAACAATGCTCTGTTCAGTATCTGATTGTCATAGGTAATTGGGTGATAAGTTAATTCTTTCTTTCATCAGGACTGATAAATTGCTCAAATTGCTGAAATATGGATAGACCTAGTAGTCTGAGGATGTTTCCTAGACCTAGAAAAAGAGATCGACCACTGTAGGACAAGACACCAATTCCAATAGAGTGCAGGGAAAATTCAACATGAAACACGGCAGAAAACAAAAGTTAAACAAACACAGATAAGCATAGAAGCAGGTTGATAGAACATAAAAGATGTTCAGAGATGTTTCAGTTACTCCACAGTAGTGTATAAGTAATTACTTCCTGAGACTACCCAAAAGTCGCTATAGAATACAGGCTTCCCATATGCACAAAAACATCCTGAATCCCAGCCAAACTAAAGAGATGCCAGAAAATGATCTATCTTCTTTTGACATTCAGAAATATGATCACTAAGCAAAAACTCTGTGAATCAGGACATCTTTGCCCTAGAGAAGTCCATTTCTGGATGCTGCAGAAGATCATCGAACAAAATCAGTTAATATGAATACTTTGCAAGGGAGGGCGGCAAGACAAAAAATACAAGGTGTCATTAAGTACCTCAGCCATAAATTTCTTTAGGATCTCCTGCTTTTGGACCTCATCACTTGTAGGAAGACCCATTGATTTCTGTCGCTGATCAAACTGCAAAATTTATTACCCATCACATTATTAGAAGGAATTGACATCCACAGATGCAACAAGAAAGGCAGTTACCGTGAACATGAATTCCACCAAAAGAAGAACAACTGATAGGCAAGTAGATCAAGCATCATTCGACTTGTCCCTTCTACAGAGTGAAGATAAAAGCAACCCCGCCCCAAAGTAAGTGGACCCACACTATTTAGTCCAGAAATTAAGGATGTCTATGGGGCATATGAAGCTGGTAGACACAACTTAGCATCATGGACAATAGCTACATGAGACAAAACCTCAGTGCCAAAACATTCGCCCATCATGCGAGGTGGTACATTTTTATTTTACTACCACAGGATTCAGAGCTCCTGGAATATGCCATAATACCAATAGAGACTGGAAAAAAATTGGCACTTCTACAACCTGAATACAAAATTATACTTTGTGGAACTATCCATGCTCGTTGGGCTGTGGCGCGTTATAGTTCAGTCACTTAGTTGTACTATACAGAAGATACTACTAAAATTTTGTATAACCACTTAACCAAGTATTTATCTTATTTTATAAAGCACCTTCAGCACTTAGGTTACCTAAATAACCTCAAATTTACATGTACATTCTGATTTCATAGTCAAGAACTGAGAAAGAACAAGTTTAGGCTCAAAAGTAGCTACCCAAGTTTCAAATCTGAATTTTCTGGAAAACCATTTCTACGCTAAGCTTCTACAAACTAAGCCAGAAGTGTTTTTTTTTTTTTTTGACATTTACCAAGCATGTCAAAAAGGGATCCGTTTCTTCAAATGCACCTCACTAACTTTGTGGAACTATCCATGCTCGTTGGGGCTGTGGCACTTTATAGTTCAGTCACTTAGTTGTGCTATACAGAAGATACTACTAAAATTTTGTATAACCACTTAACCAAGTATTTATCTTATTTTATAAAGCACCTTCAGCACTTAGTTTACATAAATAACCTCAAAGTTACATGTACATTTTGATTTCATAGTCAAGAACTGAGATATATTAGAACAAGTTTAGGCTCAAAAGTAGCTACCTAAGCTTCAAATCTGAATTTTCTGGAAAACCATTTCTAGCCTAAGCTTCTACAAACTAAGTCAGAAGTATTCTTTTGACATTTACCAAGCATGTCAAAAAGGGGTTCATTTCTTCAAATGCACCTCAAAAAAAAAGGGATGTCATGAATGCTAGTAGAGCCTGTGATGGTAAATTTGTGCTAGTGTGGATAGCAAATAACTCATAATGTATAGGATAAGCAGCAATTATGCAGTATCACCATGTGATTGAAACTAGAAACTTCCAAGAACAATAACATAAATCAGGGCCTTAACTTAGCAGAAATAAATAAAAAGGGAAAAGTGCCACCATAAATTCCCACTTAAAAATTAGTGTTCCCATACTGGAGCATCCTTTATTAACAATAAAATCCTACCATCATCTTTTCGACAGTCGATCGAGTCTCTGGGTCCAAGTCTGATAGCTTGCTACTTTCTGGTTCAGCTTTTGTTGGATCGATTTCAGGTTCACCTTTCACCACACATTTCCACCATTCCATTTGGTCCGTCTTGGTAAGGAGTACAGAGATGGATTTCTGATCCTCTGCAAAGATTAGCTGTATTAGTTGTTCTTGAACAAATTCTGCTAGACTAACTTGCAAACTATTGGACTGACAAGTGCATGCGCATAGTTTGAAATTATGCATCACATTGAACATCAACTCACATACTAATAACAACAGATGTAGATTGAAACAAATTATCAAGCATCTATGCATCATCTAAACATATAAGCAACATACCTAAGCTCCAAAAACAATCCTCAACTTTGATAGGTCGATAGAGTTCTCCCTACAAGCACGAAGGGAACGAATGTTCGGAAGGGCTCAGAAAGAAATCATACAAAATCTCGCACATCTTCAAATGGACTACAGCAAAAGATGTTCCTGTATGACCAGAAACGGGAGAATTCACTTACATCAATTATTGGAGGCTGGCCCTTTAGTCCAACTGTAAGATGGTTCTTCTTTATATCGCAAACAATAAACCGTGATTTTGTCCCTGGAGGTACAGGAATGTTAACACTGACCTCCTGCAGAGATTGACCCCAGGAGTAGCTGTCCAGATCAAGGCCATTGCCTTTGTTGGGATCTGTGTACATATCAACAGCAAAAACAATGAGAAGCCATTGGTGATGCAGAACAATACAAGGTAGTACAGTAGCACCAATGAACATATACAAATTGGCATATGATGTCAATAATGAATAGCCATATGTTACATGGAGTTCGAAATTTAAAAAACACTACCACAAAAAATCCTATAACATAGAATTGGAGTTAATAGACCCCACAAGCATACATACCTACACAGCTCAGAAAAAGGTATACTAGTTCAAACTGAAAATAACTAACCTTACAGTAACCATAAACATAACACGACCAAGTCATAGTGATAAACAAAGTGAAACAGCAAAAGAAAGCCACAACACAGACCCTCCCAAGCAGATTGGCACAATGCAGGATAAAATCCACATAGGTCCCCTGCTATAAATTTCCAAATTCTGGCGAGCAAGAGTAGAGCTTCCACACAAGAATCAAAATATATTTGATAAATGATAACACCCCACTTCGCCATCAGCTGCTACTTAAAATGCTTTTCACAACTCAAACAAAAACTTTACCTATCAAACAATATATCACATGATATTCTGGATCAAGGTCCAGATCTATGATAATTCTTTCTTTTCCCTGAGTGGTAATATTCAAACCCAAGGGGTCAAGGGAGTGGAGTTGGATCAAAAGTACCTGTAAGACGAAATCTTAGTTATATAACACTACGGTACATAACGAAATAGAATAGAGCCGACAGCCTTCAAATCTTGGGAATAACCCCCCCACACACTTCTCCAACTTAAATGCCAGGCTTAGTTCGCATGCTAAGCACTGGAGCAGTAAAAAAGCAGTATATCAACCTCATCAATCAATCAATTATGTCTCGCCCCTGTAGCAGTTTGGATCACCTATATAAACCCTCGGTATCCATTCCTCTGAATTCTGACTCATTTCATGTAAATAATTAATTCATTTTTAAGGTTTTCTAAGTCTCCCACTAATGCCTACACGAACGTCAACGTCTATAAATACAGACCAGACAAGTCCCTAACACCAGTATAAGAAAAACAAAAACATGTTGATAAATAAAACAAACAAAAAATACCTAGAGGCCCCTTCTTGTCCTCCTCCATGGCCTCCTTAACCTCCTCGGCCTTTTCAACGACAGGAACGTCCTCCTTATACTTCTTCTCGGCCTTTCCAGGTGATCCTTGTACATTCTCTTTCCTCTTCTTCTCCTCAGTTTCCAACTTGTCTTTCACTATACGAACCACCGCATTCACATCACTCACCAGAGAATCGCTCTTGAAGATATCTGACTCCCGGCCCAGAAACTCGAACACCGTTTCTAGAAACCCTAGAGGGTTTGCAGAATCAAGCACGGCATTAAAAGGCTTTTGTGATACCGATGAAGATGACAGTGGCTTGTTATCTTGCTCATCATAATCGGAAATTATCGCCATTGATACACTCGAGAATCAGTCAGGGTTCAAAAGTTTTAGGGTTTTAGCGGTGGATTTTGAATTTTATAGAAATGAGGGAAATGGATAGTGGAAGACAAATGTAGACGCCTAGAGAATTCCAGAACATTCTAGAGGTAACTGTCTCATAGTAAAAATAATACCTATAATATAATGAGAAAATTTTATTTTGTGTCTCATATAAATGACACTAGTTGTATAAGACATCTTTTTTATCTTATAGTTTTGTGGATCCAGATTTTTATGGACCCAGAAATTTAAGATTGGGGTCCACAAATTTGTGAGACAAAAAGGAGTCTCACACAACTAATGTAAGTTGTGAGACCACAATAAAACTTCTCAATATAATGCTTACACAATACTATTCCAATTTCCGACTAATACAGTAACAATTACTCTATCAAATTGGATAAGATAAAAATTGGATTAATGTACTCCCTCTACTCTCATTGTCGGCTTTTACACACGTTTTAGAAAACTAGTCTTAGGGTATACGCGCTTTGCGCGTAAATCCATATCAATGAATATACAAATTTTAAAAATTACATACATATTATTGTATAATTTATTTGAGTTATAAAATAAAATTTAAGCATTTTTTTTGAATAATAAATATTATTCTCATTTAGTTAGCTTAACAAATGAAGGAATTTTATTTAGATGTTTTATTGTGATTTATCTGGACTTATGACGAAACTAATTAAAAAAAAATTATTATTGATGTAACCTATGAATGAAAATAAAAGATAAAATATTTTTTATATCACACTTCTTTAAAGACTTTTCAAATAACACAAATTAAAAATTAAATTTTGATCTTCTAAAAATTTAATGAAAAAGTTGGCGTTATACCTTCTAAGAATTTGATAGTGACAACGTAAAATTTAAAGAATGACTAATATTGAACTAACATTTTACAAGAAAAAACTTAGTATAAAAATTATAGCGAGATGGTTTTATTTGTTGGACTAAATGCAAGAACAAAACAATGACAACTCATTTATAATCTAGTTGTCTTCTATGATTTTATCTTATCTCTTAGGAAAAATTTAATAATAAAATTTTAAGTCCTAAAATTAAAAAAAAAATATTAAAGGGCTATTTTGTCTAGATTATTACCTCCTCATCTGCAAATGTAAGAGCCCTAAAGGCCTTGTATTGTTGCAATTTAAAATATCAATCTTAAAGTATTGATATGCACACATTCGATTATCAATTCTATTTGAATTACTTGTGCACAAGTATTTTAATGCCAACGTGACAGTAAAGTCATAGAAGTTAATCAAAATATTTTAAAAGTTATTCAAAGATATACTTGAACTCATATTAAGGATGGAAAAGAGTAGAAAAATTTATTTTATAATGCATAGACGCCACAATAAATGATACTCCTAATTAGTTTACATGAGTTAAACAATAAACACGAGCATATTATAAGTTTGCCCACTATCTCCGCGTAATTTATTTGTAGTTATTTTTTATAATACCAAACATAGATTCATTTACATATTATTTAACTTGTCAACTTTTTTTGTAAAATACAAGTTTTATGCCAATTAGGCAAGCATTGACTAATATGTATGAATAGAATAAATATTTAAAAAAAAAAGGTTAAATAGTTAGATTGGCCTATAATTGAAGTGAACTGGTACTTAAAAAAGTTTCAATTTTTGAGCTCAAAGATTAGAAAAAAAACTCGTAAATGAACTTCAACAAAGACAACTTTTAAAAAATAATAAATTAGTATCCATGCGCAATTTAGTAAAATTAATATTCCTTAAAATATTTATGATAAAAATGTGAAGTACCATGTTAATTCTATAATAATCTATCTATATAGAATAACAAAGGCAAAAGCATGTTAGGCTAACAAGTGGAATACCTACAATTCTAACACATGTCCAAGATTAGGACAACTCTCCAAGATAGTTGGAGTTTCAAATTCAAACTACAAATCAACAAAATAAAATTAAATTTTATTTTATTAGAAAACTTCCATTCCTCCCACGTTTTTTTTTCAATCCTCCCACGATTTTGTTTTTGCAGTTATTCTTATTGATACAAAAGTAGTCCCACGTTTTTGGGCTGATTGTTTTTTTTATTTGTTAAAACAAGTTCAAAAAATTTAAAACTTCCAATTTAGTTTCATCAATATTGAGTCCCACGTTTATTGGACTGTTTTTTTTTTAAAATATTTGTTAAACCTGAAAAATAAAGAAAAAAAAAACTACTTTGATCCACGTTAGAAACTGACTTTCACTTTTGGAATTTGATTCACAAAGAAACATGAAGAAATATTTTTAAAAAAACAAAAACAAAACAAAACCCACGATCATCTTCCCAAACATGGGTATCCTAACCTAACTCCATAACTTATCCACTTTCTCAATAACTACAAATAATATTTTATGCGGCTCCTCCTTTTAATTTCTTTTCCATTCCCTTTTTTTTTGTGCTCAGAATATAACTTTGCAAATATAGCTACAACATTAGACAAAATTCAAGTAACTCATGCAATAATGTAGTGAAATAATTTATATATATATATATATATATATAGAAACTATTTTTCCTTAAATTATTTATTAAATCTATCTATATAGATTAGGAAGGCAAAGTGGCTTAAGAAAAAATTAATAAGTGTTAAATTTTAAGACAAACATCCAATACATTTGGAAATTCAAGCATAATAAAAAATAAAAAATAATTTAAATTTTTTAAACCTTCCCACTTAACTACAAACATGGACTCCCACGTTGGATTTTTATAAATACTTGGCACGTTGGAGTTCAAATTTATTTAAGATAATGTAAATGACACGTTTTTTGAAATTTCAAACATTCAGAATTTTTAAATTTTTTCAAACAATAGAAACCACCAACTACTCCCACTTCCTCCATTCCCACTCCTCAAAGTCAGTTTTAAAACTAACTAAACTTCTCCTCTTGCATATATTAGATTTTAAAAAACTTACAGTTCCCTTTGTTATCACCGAAAAATTTGCTGGGAAATTGCACCCCAAAATTGTTTTTTGTGACTTTTCATTGTTCGATTAATATGTCATAGATGGTCAATTAGTAAATTGCTAAGCGTTTTAATCATTTTGCAATTATGCATCTCAGGTACAGTACTCCCTTCTGTTTTACTATTTTTCCTTCCATGTGTGAATGTTATATATTTGTAACTCTCTACATGTTTTAGTTCAAAGTCGGGATGGGCAATTGAGAATTAAATCATCAGGAAGTGATGGAAATGTGACAAACAAGAAATGTAAAGAGATTGTCAAAGAATTCTTCAAACATGTCCATTTACTAAGAATTTTTTCTTAATATTTTTTATTATTAATAAAATCATGCTACTGAAATATGTTTTTTTTGTTTGATTTGAGTTAGATGTCATACCAAAAGAGGAAGATAAGTCCTGCTTAGCATTTGTTATTTCTCACGACAAGAGAATTAACAGACGTATCAATAATACAATATTTTTCATATTCTGCTTTTATTATGTGTGTGTATGTTTGCCAAACAACATAATATTCTTGGCACGTCTGCATCAGAAGTTCTTTACTGAAATAGAAAATCGTTGAATGAAATTTGGCATATGGAACATCCACATGTCTTACAGTGCTAGAAGAAGTTTTCTTGAACATTGATGAGAAGGCAGAGCTAGAGGAACCTGAATCGGATGGAAGCATCAAAACACTGATTGTAGCATTCGAAACCACTCCAGGTAAGTGCTTCAGTTTGGATTAACATTATATTGTAAACTGGCTCATTACAATCTAAAGAAACATGCAAATTTTCTACAGAATAAGGAGACTGCTTTCGCTGTCTCACTACTTGATATAACAAATAGGTTAATGTATATATGTAGTTTGTAAACAAAATTGAGGGATTAGACAACGAATATCTTTAGTAAGACAGTGGGATATCATGCACACATGATTCTGGGGCTTATTTGATTTTTAAAGTGTGCAATGAAAGAACTGCTCACTTTGATAAGCTTTATGGATATTCGTTGTCCACATGGATATTTAAGGATATTGCATAGATTTTTGGCATAGCTTAGGGATGTTTCGGCCAAAAAATCTAACTCTTCGTTTCTAAAATTAATTCTCTATTAATAAACTAAATTATTCAATTTACTAGGATCCATTTTATTTATATAAATTTAACACTATCGTGATATACTGTATTTTTATCAACGTAATGCAAAAACTTTTCACTTCTTAAAAAATATTAAAAACACAAGAAAGAATTTCTGAAGTTGTTGTTTGTTTCCTCTATTTAAATAGCTAAAAAAAAATTCTTTTTTCCGGAATTCTTTCATATCAGATTAGCCTTTATTTTCAGCAGATGAGGTTGTTCTTAAAAATGGAGTATTCTCATTCAAACCCATAAAGTATTAGGAATGATTAAACTACATGGATTAAAATTTATAATTTGGGCGACTGTAAATGCAAAGAAACGTTACCCTTTCAATTAGTTTAAGCATGAACTTACATCTGTAAATATAATATTGTCCGTGTTTCTTTGCAAAATTCATCAGATAATATATTTTTCAATTTTCTTCCTCGTGTGCACAAACTCTCACTGATATTAATATGAATTTTGAAAAGATCCAAACTCTTATTTAGACATGCTCCCACTAATAGTGTAGATTTCTTTTGCCTCATCATATAAAAGGTATTTCCGTGTTGTTCATGTCTTACCAAATTTTTGGACAATATACAGTACTGAAACGTGAATTAATTCTAAAAATGTGTTAATTTCATGTGCAATTTTGAGATATTTTACTTATCAACTAGAGGTTTACTCTTGAAAATAAACGTACATATGATTAGTCCATTTATCCTATTTCGCCTTTAGTGTCAAAGTTGCAGCATATCCTCCCCTATTTTATGTAAATTTTTAGTATCTGATATGCTTTTAAGAATTCATCTTTGTTGGAATATTTTGGTTGAGTTTTTCGTATCGTGCGAGTATATAATTCAGTAACTGTGAGTTCATATATAAATCGAGAAAACAACAACTTTAGTTGAGGAAGATAGAAATTATACAAGTTTATTCAAAATTTGATCTTTGATCTTTGATCATTATATAAAT